TCCCCCCCTTTTTTTTTTTTTAACTAGCACGGCACTCACTGTGGTTTTAGTATAAAAAAATGTCAACTTCCTATAAACATACAGCACATGACCAAATTTCCAACTAATGTACAAAGTGCGACCACGAGGGAAAGGTCAGAGAAGAGCTATTTGCGCTAGCGCGGGGCGTTTTTCACGTTCCTCTAAGAACTCTATTTACAGCAGTGCCCGGGTGTTCACGGACTTTCTGGTGAAGGTAATTGGCCAAGAGGTTTCTACCGTGCTCCCTCTTCTTGAATATATTTTACTTTTGGGGTGCTGCACTCTGCGCTGAGCTCAGCCCAAGCCCTCCTCGACAACAGGCTCGCGGCAAGGACCGACTGCCCGCTGCGGAGGGATGTTTGGGAGACGCGGAAGCACGCACGGGAGAACAGGTAAGCTGACGGCGGGGAGAAGAGAGCTGACGGGTCTTTGCGAGCGGGAGCAGCGAACAAGCAATTCTCATGACAAACTGCAACTTTCCTTCTAGTTTAGCAGGCAGCCGGGAATGCGTTTGGTCAGAAATTTCGGCGTTAAGAATGTGGGATTGCAAATGTCTGCGGCAGATACGGGGCCAACAACCACCATCTACAAACTCCGTCTCCCAGTGGCAAGGAGAATGTAGGTTTGAAGGTGCCCCCAGAATGGGTGATTATGGGCATTTGGCCTCTTAACTACTATTAAATGTGGCACGCAAGAAAATCATGTGGCCTGGTGTTTTAGCAGCTGGCTCAGAATGATGCTGAAACACAGGAGCGAATTCAAACGGGGTTTCATTATTCCCCGTAGAGACACCCTCACTTCTCGATCCCCCAGCTCAGGGGCAGCTGAAGGCTGTTGTTGGGAATGACGGTTTAAGCCAGAACCGGAATTCAAAATGGATTTCTTCCTTAGATCAGTTCTAAAGAGCAAACAACATAAACCGGGATCCTTTGTTGCTTTCTGGAATCTCAAACCGGGGCAAAGCAGGGAGAGTGCTTCAGACAATGCGACCGGGCCAAGGAAACCAGTGCCTTTGGCCTCACCTATTCATCCAGCTGTAGGTCCTATACACTGCCCTGAGAAGGATGCAAAGTATGCGAGCTTCAAGTGCTTCAGAAGCTTTGTGGTCCAAGGAAAGTCTTTCACAACTAGGAGGAAGCTTTATGTGTGGTGCAGATGGACAAGCATAGGCTGGATTGGGATCTCGGGAGCATAAATGACAGCGGTACAACCTCTGGATGCAGATGTCGCCCTGCACAGAAACATGCACGTGGGCAGGTGAGAGGCAGAGTAGCCAGGCTAGTGTGTTAACATGCATTTAGGAACATAGAGCAGGCTCTGTCACAGCTGAAAAGCAAAGCTGGTGAAAGCCATATGATGCTCTGATAAGATGCTGAGCAAGGTGAGAAGCAAAGCTCTGCTTTCATCAGAAAGGGTACTTGTCCACGTGGCTCAAGAGAAAGTGGCTTGGTGGTTCATGATGTGCTGGGTTGATGGTTGGACTCGATCTTAAAGGTCTTTTCCAACCAGAGCAATTCTATGATTCTATGATAAATGATGTTGGGGCAAGGCAGGGGGTAGTTCCCCAGAAAAATGTTTCAGCTGCAAAACCAAGATCACATTATTTGAGAAGAATGGAAGCAGCAGCAGCAAGAAAAGAGAGCACAAGAGAAGTGTCTCCTTTGACACAGGCTAGGCTAGAGCTCACCCAAGCACATGGCCCCTCCTTATGGCCAGTGGACAAAAGCAGACATTTATTATGCTAAAGTAGACATAAAATAGTAAGTGTATTATAAACACAAACAATCTATAGGTGACTTAAGTACTGCCTGTTGCTATTGGACTTTACCGTGCATCGGAGTGGTTATCCCAGGGACAGCTTTCCTTGCCCTCTCCAGGTCAAATTTCAGCCTGTTCTTGAAGTGAGCCCTCTCAACACAGGAAGGTGAGGGGAAAGAAGTCTATAATATTAGACATCTGCTCAAGAATCATCAAGGATCATCACCACAAGCGAAACTGCTGAAAAACCCACGTGGGTCATGACTTGGCAATAACTTCTCATGGCTGGCTGCTTTTATCTGAGCAGTGCGAGGAGCAGAATCGCGAGCCGATGCAAAAGTGAGAGCACTGGCTGCTACAGAAAAGCGGAGTGATGAAGCCAGAGAACAAGGTCTGGCTTAGAGAAGGAGCGGCTCCACCACCAAAATGAAAAGCAGAAGGAAAGGACTGAGAATTGTACAGAATAGTGCATGAGATGAGAGGGATGGGGAAGAACTGGGAGGATGGTCGGGACAAGCATTTCTCCTGGTAGCTGGAGGATAAAGAATGCTGTTGGTAAGGTAAATCTCTTCCTGCAGTACAGGTGCAACGTTGCAGCTGAGAGCACCTTTCCTTCCTAGCTGCTGTTAGAAAGATTCTTCAGGTCATCTCCCTTCTGGCTCCACAGCCACATCCATCCCTCAGGGAGAGGCAGCTGTGGGAAAGCACCTTCAGAACAAGCTCCATTTTCTTTCAGGTGGCCCTTCGCTTGCCTAAGACCCTGGCTTTGCATACTGACCCCGCCAAGCAGGCGGCTAACGAACGCCTCTGACTCTTCCCTCTCTTGTCTTTGCTCTCATGGCCAGATTCTCTCCCGCTAAGTGAAAGAAAGGCCACTGACAGTTCTCGCCCTTCTCGACTGGATGGGCAAAAGCTCCAACACGTCTGGGGATATCCGATGCCCTTCCTTTGTGCGTGCAAGGCCAGCGTTGGCCGTCACATCTCCTGCTGCTATCTGAGGCCCTTGGCTTTTCAGTGATCCGTTCTAAATTGGTCCCTAAGAGGAAAAGTAAATGTTGCTCGTGCCTGTGCCCGTAGTCTCCAGTCCTCATGCAGCAATTTACATTTACACTTTCCAAAGGTCCCAAGCTGGATGGGTTTACATCCTGCCCCTGCTTAGCAGCAATCTGGCCTGCTTCGGCCCTGCTTTGGGAAGCCATCAGTGAGAATAGAAGGGTAGAGTGGGGTGGGGAAATTTGCTGTCACTTTAAAATATGTTTTTCTGGTTTTGTTTGTGGTTGTTGGGTTTTTTTTAAACAAGTTCTTATATTTGGTCCATAGGTCTTCTGTGGTCCCGAACTATATCACCCTTAATGATCAGCTTGGTTATTCCTTCCTATACAACATTCACCAAATTTACAGCAATGGAAAGGAAAGGAAACAAAATGAAACATTTCTTTTTTTACAAAGGAAAAAAAAAAGATCAATTTGGCTTTGACTATGCCAACTACCTAAATCAATGGAAAGTCCTTTAACGTGGGCAAAATGCCATGGCCAGGTAGGTCAGAGGGAGGGCATGAACTCAGGGTTAATAAATGTACCCAACCCGTCGTCTCTGGCCACAGGAGGGGTCGGGTCGCAGAGGCCAGGCTTGCCTCTGAGAAGAGTGCTCTGGGAAGAGCTGGATACTTGGAGAGCCCTTCCCCTCTTTCCTGTCTCCTTCACAGCTCAGGTTGGTGCCAGGTGGAAGGGAACTGGGAAGGAGTAGGGTCCGGGCACAGGTAGATCCCTGGAAGGCTGGTGGTGTTTTCTCCAGTGGTACCAAGTTGCTGGAGTGAGTTGTTGACACAGTCGGACTCTTCAGTAGGCTTGGCCTGTCTCTACTGGTAGGAGGCCCAGAACAGCTGAATGTTCTCCCAGCTTCATCCTACGCTGTGTAGACAGACTCACGTTCTTGGCCAAATAATCAACAGCGGCTGAAGAGGAGGAGAAAAAAACAGGAGGGTGAGAAAGCAGCGCAACACGAAGGTTAGCATTTAGTGGAAATTAAGCATTCGGCATCAAAGGGCGTGTAACCAACAGACCCCACAGGGATTGTCACGTGAGAGCCCTGCTCTGCTCCTACGGGTGAGTGCACACAGGTGATAGTCCTGCCAGCAACAGGACAGATGCTGCTGGGGTTGAGCACGACTGCAGCGTGCACTCTGCATGTGCTGCTGCAGTCCCTCGAATCTCTCCATGAACCTACACAAAAGAGCTAAAATTGTACTTCTGCCATGGAAAATGGTGTTTCCAAGGGGCTGTCCAAAGGCAAGCCTGAGCAGAAAGCCAGTGGGATAAGCCTTCCTGGCTCACCTCCCTGTATCATCTCACGATGGCATAGCCAGCTCCTGCATTCAGTGATGCTGGTGTAAATGATTCCAGAGATTTCAGTGGAAGCTCACCAAGTCTGGACAGGGCTTGAATCTGACTCAATCACTGCGTGCTGACTCATCTCCGTGAGCTCTGCTGCCTGCCTTCATCCACCCTTCCTAAGCGAAACCGCTTTGCTTATCTCCATCGGGGTGAGGAACGCAGCCACAGCTCCTGGGGCGATGCGTGAACGTGCCTCCCAGCTCGCCTGACTGCCCCGTGGTCTGAGGGGGAAGAGGACTGGGGCAGGATGGTGACATTGCTCATTAGCTGAGCTTCAGTCAAAGTCTCTCCCTTTCGCTAGCTTTAATGTCTCAAATTAGATTAATAAGGAGCTGGCAGGAGATGTACAATCGGTGCCAATGAGTAAACAAATTTCAGCCATCAACGTCTTGTCAGACGCCTGCCCCAGAGGAGGTCCCTTCCAGACACAAATTCTTATTAGACTTGTCATATCTATTAGAATTCCTTTCACGCTTCTGCGTTCCATCACCGGCATCATTAACACAGCTCCGGCCTTTGGGAACTGCAAGGACCGCATTAATCTGGCATCTCTGCTCCTCACCGGCTGGGACAGCACAGACTCTGCAAGCGCTGGCAGGTGGGAGCGCTGGAAGCAAGCAGGCTCAGCACGGGGTGAGCGATCCGGGGCCGGAGCGAGGTCTGCTGGGGAGCACAGCTTCTGCAGGCGGCAGAGCCCGAAAGGAGCTGAGTTAGGCCTGTGGAGCTGGCACGCTGGCTGGTGCTCCTCGGGGACTGGGATGCTGGACCAGCTCTACGCGAGCACTGGGCTCCGTGACATTGTCTTACAGTGCATCTGACTTCAAAGGGGGTGTACATACGATTAGACCCCAAGTTACGCCTTTCATCCAGACTTTATCAGCGTGGTCCCCTGATATTTTAGGTAATCTCATTACCTATTGTCCTTGGGAGGCTGTAGGTATAGAGGAAATGCACTCCTCGGACACGCTGCTTGTGTGTGGTTGTGCCTCTGTGACTGTTGTCACCTGTGCTCTGGGTGCTTGGGAAAAGAGGGAGGTGAATGGTCAGAGACGGTCACCCTGCGCTGGGCAAAATGGAAATTTGATGGCATCCCCATCCTTCTAAAAAACCACGCTAAACTCCCAATACTGACTTCTGTGCCAGCGGGAAGAGTTCAAAGGCATCAGGGTATCCCACGCCAAAAGTCATTAACTGTGGTTTGTTGCTTTAATACAGTGGAAGCCAAAATACAACCAGAAACTTACCCAAAGTACTCGGAGTGTTTATTTGTTTAAGTGAGAGTGAAAGTGTGTCTGGTTTTGTGTTTCTAAAACAGAGAATAAGAAGTGGGGAGAGAGAGATTCTCTGCAGGCCAGGCCCAAACCCTATCCAAACTTTGGAGCTCTGATTTACAAGCCCTGGCTATGTCCCCTGTTACACAGAGCCTGCCATGTGTATTGTCTCAGTGCTCGCTAAAAAGGGGTTTGGTACTTTTTGTGCCCCATGATAGAAGGAAGAAACGTATCATTTGAACTGAACATCAATAAATAATGATCTTGTGGTGGTCACCTTACACCGGTCGGCATTTAAACAGCATTTGAAAAGAAGCAGTGAAGAATTAAAAAGCAGGAAGAATTAGAAGTATCTGCTAAATACGACATGCATGGAGAAAGACAGGAAAAATGTTATTATATCAAGGTCAGATTCACGTAAGTGATTGGTCTAACAGGACTAATTACCAATGAAAACTGTTTCCTCACATAGAGATTATTATCGATGTGGCTCATTATAAGGAAGGTTTATAGTGAAGTGGACTTAAATATTGCTGTAAGTACAACTATCCCTACATGCACACATGCAGAATTTGCTGTTTAAGGTAGATGCCACCTTAGAACAGCTGCAGCTGGGTTGTGCTGCATCTGCCATGCAGCATGGCATTGGCTTTGGCTGTAGGACCTGCCGTTGCACTGGGGTGACTCCAGCTCCCGGCACTGGGAAGCAGTGGCACGGGGGACGGTGCAGGATGGTTTCTCACCTACCTTCCTTGCTCCAGCGGGAAGAACTAGCTTCCTTCTTCATGACCAGCTACCTGCGTGTCTCTAGGCATGGGGCATGTCTGGACTAACCCTGGTGACCCTGCAAGACTTGCTGCTGGGCACAGGCCCGCTGGCAACCTGGTCTCTCATCGCCATTAACAGGAAAACATTCCTGTTCTGAGCCGAGCCCAACGGGCTCTAACCTGGACTGGTAAATTTGATGGGTATCCAGCAGAAAAGAGAGAGCCATGCGACAGAAATCAGGCAAAGGGAGTAAATAAAACAACATAAATAGGTCTGTGCGAGTGGTTTCTCATCAGCATAAGGAGAGGCCCAAGTAAAAATCCTTGCAGCAAACCAAGACAAACCCTTCTTTCTCTTTCCTTCTCCTTTGCTGGTCTCTCTCTCAGAAAACGTAGCTTGTCCTCCTTATTTTATTTTTTACACACATGGGTGTGACTAACGTCTTGCCCAAGGGAATCCTTATTGGAAATACATGGTATTGGAATTTGTTTAAGATTTTTATCAATAGCACGTGTGTCCAGCCTCACATCCAGAAGCGAGGGGAAGGTCAAGGGGTCACAGATCAAACTCCCGAAAAACAAAAAAAGGAGGGGTGGGGGGAAGCTGCTATTGATCCCGTCTGCCGCCACAGCCGGTTCTCATTTAGCTGTAGAAGTTAAAGACATTAAAGGGCTGTGACAGAGAGGAGAATAAAAAGCCACAGCCAAATGGAAGGAAAGGTCACTGAGGACAAGCTATGGGCAAGCAGGAGTGCTCCCGGAGGAAGAGGATGCACCTTTAACCCTCCGTGGATCACTCTCTCACAACACCACACTTCTTATTAGTTTAACACCGGCAGGTGAGCCCTTTGCCAGGCTTGCCGGTGTTTTTGTGACCCAGCTATTCTGGAAGAGAAACAGATCCTCCTGCCTTTCGGGTCTGAGGTTTAGGTTCAGAATTACAATTCCAGTCTCACTTCAGCTTTCGCAGAACCACAGCCCAGTTGACAGGCACTGGCTTAATGTATTTTGGAGGCAGAGCTCTGAGCACGAGCTCAGCCTTTACCTTGCAGAGGGCAGGGGAGGAAGCGACACGTATAGTTCTGCACCATTAAAGTCCCAGCTTTCCTTTGGCCAAGCAGGATGAACCTGTTGTAAAGCTTTTGGAGAAGCACGAATTGGAGAGGGAGAAGGAGAGATGTCTGGAAGTTGTCCTTTCCTAATAGAAATGTTTTACCTAAATTACTTCCATTGGGACTTTTGAACTGGACTGCAAGGGTGTTGGGGAGGCTGTGTGGAGCAATCTCCATCTGTGTCCAGTGCGTATATTCCATTTTTCTCTCTGGATGGACAGATTTCCATGGGAATCTGTTCCAAAACAATATCCATACCTTCTTACATTCCCTCCCTCTCTTCTCTGTTCCCTCTGCAGGGGGAATACATTCCGTGCACTTACTTTGTCCATACTGTCCGTACTGGTAGCCAGCCACTGGGTCCACGCTGTAACTGGTGGTGCTGTAGGTGGGAGGACAGTAGGACTGGGAAGTCGGGAGACTGTCCACGGACTTGATGGAGTCGCTCCGCTGGCTGCAGCTGGCAGAGATGGAGTTGGTGGTGTCCAAGCCACCGTGAAGGGGAGAGATGGAGAAGTCAGCCTGGGGTTGCGGAGGAACCCCGCTGGGATTGCTCAGGATGCTCATCACCTGGAGAAACACAGGAGACAACACATCAATGTCTGGAGGAGAAAGTGGGGGGGTGCAGCTGCCTTCATGCATACCAGGGAGAAACAGTCTGGTGGTGCTCTCTTGATGTAATATACGTTATCAATATAGGTTTGGCCAGGCTGGAGAGTGAAGGCCTGGTTCCACCAACAGACCCACCCTGCAGCTGGCTCCTCTGTCTCTATTGCTTTATTTGAAAGACCTTCACAGGGATAATTGAGAAGTTCCTTCACAGCACACTCAACCTTTGGTCTTTCTTTACTGTCCCACCAACAACGTTAGCTGTGCTGTTCAGAATGAACGCCAGAGAGAGGAATAAACCTGGGACAAACCCGCTCGACACGCACTGCCATGAACTAGCACCCCTTCCCTTCCTACACACAGTCCTCGCAGAAGAGGAGACGTGAGAGACAGGGAACAAAAATACATATTTTCCGAACAGGATGCTGAAGGCAGCCCTTTCTTTGGCACTTTGAGTAGGGCCTGGTTTGCAATGGTCCCTAACCAAACCAGACGCAAACCTTGCCTGGCTTTGATGCAGATTCAGCTTTAGGGACCTGAAGTTCCTAAAGAACCAAAGTTCTCTTTACCCTCAAATGTTAAAGGATAACAGGTCCTAGTTCGTCTCATTTCAGTGTAGTGCTTGGTTTGAAAATGTAATTAAATTTGCACACAAGCGATCTTCCTGCTTTGAGACCTGAAACAGATGAACTTACAATCTTTTTCTTTTTTTTCCTTCTTTTGCAGCAAAAATGCCAGATTTGTTCCTGCGGGTGAGTTTGGGGTAAGCTGCTGCCTACAGCCCTTCACACAAGGCCCCTGATCCCGCTAGCGCTTTAATGCAATTGCCTCCTGCAATCAGCCAAATTACCCCCGGGGCTGCCAAGTGAAGAGTGTAAAGAGTTTGCAGAAGCGGGGCCGCGGCGAGGGAAGGAAAGGAACTCCTGATGCCTCTCGGTTGATCTCCGCGGCCGCCGCAGGCGTGCCTGGCTGTATTTGTGCTGGGGAAGGGCGGGGGGGAAGAGGGGACAACACGTAGGGGGGCCAGGCCAGCGCTCAGATGCCGAGCGGTTGAAAATCTCCAAATTTAGCATAACCTTATTGACATCAATTAAAGTGGCAAATTGGAAATATTTGGAGCCTGGCAAGTGGTAAAATGAGCCCTTTATCCCCCACCAGTGGCCTGGTGAGCTATTGTGCGGAGGATACATTCTCTGGAAGGACACAAGAAGGGTTGTATAGAGCGGCGTCTCCCCTTCCTGCTCACCCCGACACCTTTCCCATCCCCTCCTCCCTCACCTTCCTGCTGGAGCAGGGGCTTAGGTTGAATGACCCGCTACGCGCTGGCCTTTGCTTTCTAAAGCTTCTCCTCCCCCCGGAAGGACTCAGGAGCCCTGCAAAGATGCTTTCCCTTGATGTGATGCCACCTCCTGACTCAGTCGCCCTGAGACCCTTCCCAGGCGTTTGTCTGGGAGGGGAATTCGGGAGCAGGAGTGGCTGGACCCCTGCAGAGGGGGAGGCTGTAGGGAGGTACTGGGGAGGGGGGTCAGTTAAAAAGCCTGTAAAATCAATCTAACCCCGAGCACAGAGTTTGTCTGCAGTGTGGTAAAGAGACACAGGAACGAGCTCTGAATAAGCTACATGAAAGCATCGACAGGTTTTGTTTACCCTCTCCTTCAGGTATTTCAGCCTGCACTGAGCTTAGGGTTTGCTACTGGTCCCCAAAAGTTAAACCTAGCTTAGCTGTCCCTACATCCAGAGCCTAAATTACCTCCAGCTCTCCAGACCCTAAATTACCTCCAGCTCTCCAGACCCTCTGGGCACAGCTTCTTAATCACAGTGATTAAGCCTCGAGGTATCTAGATGAAGTTGTTTAGCCACAACGCTGTGTAAAACGTGCCCGTGGAACTCCCTGCCCCGTGACAGCCCAAAGACTGAAAGACAGGGGAGTGAAGAAAGGAAATTGCATTCAAATATGCAAGACAGAGTGGATTAATATGAGAATAGGGCTGTCATGCTTTTCTGTGTGGATGTAACGTAAACCTCTCTGCCTCAAGGCTTATACAGCAGGGAAAACAGGGAAGTGCAGCCTGAAGGTAGGTTTTCCAGCTGCAAAGTTATTTGTAACCTTCCACTAAAGCTGGGTCACGAACTTCGATCTGGCTCAGCTACGAATCCTCCTTCTCTGCCCCTCAATCCAGCCAGACCTCGTAGCTTCGGCATCGTCTTAGCTGTAGGTGTTACAGCCCACACCTCTTTGCCCTGACGGATATCCAGGACACGAGACGTTATTGGATTTCATTCGCAAGCAGAATCAGATGTTTAAAACAATAAACGTCCTTCTCACATGTGGGAAAACACAGCTGAATGAATTATGCATTGTTTTTTGGAAGCTCCAGCTCAGGCAGTGCAAAACCGGGCTGTTTCACCTCTCCCTTCGTGAGGTGTCCGGGTCCGGCAGCGCTGCCTGCTTGCGGATGCGCTGACCACGCCATCAACCCCTGCGAGTGCAGAAGAAAAATCACGCGCTAGAAAATGAAAGGCAACTGGAAGCACTCACAGACGAGAGGGTTTGCTAGTGCTCTCCCTCCTGGCCATCTCCCCCGAAGAGTCAGCTGCTTTATATTACTCAGAGAAAATAAAAGGCTCTTAAAGCAAGCAGAAGTCATATTAACACTTCCGCTAAGGCCCTTTTATAAAGAAAAGGAGATGTAAAGCAACACTGGTAAATGAAACCCAGATTCACACTCTGCAGATTCAGAGGAGCTGAGACTGGAGAAGACACTTGCACAAATCCTACTAAAGACACTAATTGGCTTTAATCAATCAGAATCAGCACTGATTTCTAATCCCAGCTCTGCTACTGACTCACAAGGGCTTGTGCGAGTCACTTAAGCTAGGACTCAACTAACCTTAGCCATGTGAAGTTAAGTTCCTAGTCTCTGCTAATCCTCTAGAATCCCTCTGCAGAGAGACTGACACTTCTGAAGGACAATTCATCCCATCCTAAGATCCCTTTCTGAAAAAGGCGGGCTGAATTTCCCTCTGGAAATCTGTGGTGAAACAGAAGGATGCCAATATTTCATCATGACAATGCCAGGGTGGATGATGGATAGGTAATTGTACAGAGGTTGGAGTGGGGAGATGCTGGAAGGTGGCTGAGTGCTGCAGATGAACCCTGACAGAGGCTGTGGGGCTCAACTGGTCCAGGACCCCCAAAGGTCTCCATTCCCTCTTCAACAACACTGACTGCGGGAAGTATCTGCCTTTTCCAGGCACACTGAGAGCAATTTGGGGCTGGCCTCCCCTGAGACTCTGTTTGCACAGGTTTATCAGAGGGCAGCATCTGATTTTCCCCACCCCAGGACATGAAGGTGTTAGAAATAACAAAAATGAACGGGAGATCTCTATTCCCTCTTTGCTACGCAGCCACCCAGTAGAGATTACCCTACATGAGCCCTCCAGCCTCGGCAGGCTTTGTGTTATCTGACTTCTTGTTTCAACGGGATAAACTCATTTTACAGGCAACTTTTGAACTTAGGAAAGTCTGGGACATCTGGAGAAATCCCCTCCCCAAGAATGCAAAGTCCTTTTACCTTTTCTTTTTGACCTTGCTTTCTTATAATTTATTACTTCTTGGTGCATTATCATCACTAACTAAAAATCAATACCCACTTCACATCTGTAAGGTTTTATCTGGAGGGAAATCTGCTACCTGTCCATCACAGTGATTGACAGCCTTCCCTTTTCCCTCCCTCTCATCAGTTGTCTCCCTCCTTTTCTCCATCTCCTTTCCCTTCTCTGCTGTCCCAAATCAGTCACAGGCGTGGCGTGGGCTTGCACTTTAGGGTAAGTCAATAACAGCCCTGGTGCTAGGAGCCTTCGGACTCATCTCTGCCCTTTCCAGAGGTCATTTGTCATGGGGGAAGAGGGGCTAGGGGTCTTCACGTGTTGGGGAGACCAAGGTTAATGGACAAAGACCCTCCTGGATGAAAGGGCCATCCCCCCCTTGCCTCCCTCCCCACCC